GCGCGAAATTCAAAAACAAACTTACCACCTAATTAACTACTTGTTTTTATAATGTTCACTACCAGTGGAGTCTGCCGGTGAGTCAGCGGTAAGTTTACGAACATATAACTCTAAAATCCGGGGTTCGGTTCTCTGCAATGGACAGTTCTGCGCTAGTAAAATAACAGCCTACTCATCTATGTAAAAATATAAAGGACCCAGCAGTAATTAGTAGGACGGATTGCAATATTGATGGCGTTTTTTTTAATGACTCAAATGCTATTATAAATCCTATAATCAACAAAGACATAGACCCACAAGCAATTTGATGAATAAATCCGTTTAAAAATTGTATTTAAAAAACGACGGAGAGTGGACCTCATCAGTCATCCACCATTTCATCTTTTTATTTTGTTCTTGTTTGTTTGTTTTTTACGGCAAAGTTACACGAGGGCTATCTGTGCTGGCCGACCCTAATTTAGTAGTGTAAGACAAGAGTGAAGGCAGCTAGTCATCATCATCTACCGCCAACTCTTGGACTACTCTTTTACCAAAGAATACTGGGATTGACCGTCACTTATAACGCCCCCACAGCTGAAAGGGCGAGCATGTTTGGTGTGACGGGGATTCGAACCCGCGACCCTCAGATTGCGAGTCGAGCGCCCTAACCACCCAGATGCTTGATGTTAGTAATTTCCCCAAAAGAGGGCCCAAAACTGCATGGAGGAGTTACCTGTTTTAACCACTCGCATCACTGTGTTGTCTGTCAGTCAGTCAGTAGACACTAAAATGACGTCACATAAGGGAATTTATCGTTGCAGTTTGTACTGTCGTGACGTTAGTAAAACGTGCGCGCAATGAATCGCGAGAAGAATTATGCACTCTGTAGGTTACAACACATGACATATGAACTTCAAAAGCAAGAAATAAAAACATTTGTTACTCTAAATTTTGGTTTTAGTTACTCTGGAAAGAGAACACTTTAGGGGACCCTGCGGAAGTACATCTACTTTAATTTTAACCATACACAAATGGGGTACTGAGTGAAAACTTTAATAATATATTTCACTGTTATCAGGTTAGTTTCAAAGTGAAAAATTATGCGAACAGTATTTCTCCATGATGCACCTACTAGAGTACAATGTGATATTATTACAGCTCGTAAACTGATTTAACAACATAAGTAATTAAAACAAACAGCATTTGAAATGCCACTTCTAACCATCAAACCCTTCTCTTTCCCTCACTCTCTTTAAAACCGTCCCCTGGTGAAACAGCGGTACGTTTACGGACTTACAACACTTAAATCCGGGGTTCGATTCCTGCGGTAGACATATTATATGAAAGCATTATATTTAAAAAATAACCATTGTCTTTTAAATTAATTAATAACAATAATCTTTGTTGGATTCCATTACATGTAGAAAAAGGTTGTCTTTATACGGGGGGTTAAGAATACTGTTTCCGGCTTTCAGTCTGGTTTTTACAGAACAAAATTAACGCTCCATGTTGTTGTATTACTTTATTTCCTTAGGGCTTAGAAGCAAACACAACAGCCTCGCCTAAGGCTGCTCTTGAGCTTAGCGAATTATGGTTTACTTCCTTGGTGTCAGCGTCCGGTGTGTGTGTGTGTAACCCGTGGGAAGAACTGTACGGACGATTAAATCTGACTAATCATCGATGTATTCGCCCTCTGTTTTCACCAAGTTATTTATCACTGACTGCTATCAAATTAACCAGGATTTTTTTTATTACATATTTTTAGTTTCAGAAGTAGTAGAGTTTGAATTTCGACTCTAAAAAAAGTCCGAAAACACGAGCTAGATAGATGAATGATATCAGTTAACTTCCACACGTAGCACATTAATTCTCAATACACATACACACACGCAAGAACACGAGCTAGATAGATGAATGATATCAGTTAACTTCCACACGTAGCACATTAATTCTCAATACACACACACACACGCAAGAGAAATACATAAGTATAAATCTTCTAACCGATTATGAGAATGTTAAACCTCCTGGAAAAGGAACGCGTACATTGGAGTTTTAGTTGGCCAATCTTACCAAATCATAGGAGCCAAAAAAGTGGAATCGAAACCAGTCGTATTCAAAGAGTAGCTTGAAATTAATCCAATGTATCTTTTTATAATTTATATCCACTTTCAAAATCCACTGAGAAAAAATACCTAATTTATATCTACATATAGCAGAGAAGGTCATTTGTGTATGTACGACTTTGTAAGCTAGTTTAGAATAAAGTAATACATTAAAAACGTTACTAACTCATTTGAGTAAATTAAATAATGACAACGAAAATGCGGTTTCTCATAGGAAAGTTTAGCTTACACATATGAAAAACTAGATAAAAAGAGAACAATAATTTCAACAGTGGTTAGTGGGAAAGTAACATCTTCTAATGCCTGAAAGTAATTTTCATCCACATCAAGTACGAAAGGTGGTTATTTTCGAACAAAAAAATTACTAATTAACCCTAAAAATAAATACTATGCCAGACTCACAAGATTATCTCGTACGGTTTTATATAAAACTTCGTCACACACAATTGTTTGTATTCAAGTGCATAATCAATTCTTAAAATACCATATATATCCCTCTACAAAATTGTGTATCCGATATGTACCTCGCAACTTTTATGTAGAAAACTTATCAAACATTTGACGTATTATTTTAATAACACCTCGGGCATCTCTATATATAACATTGCGATTTAAAAATATTTCACAGTCAGTCAAATGTATGAAGTATTCCAATAAATTTTGTTACACATATATGCAGCTACTTGTAACACAAATTATACTTTGGTAGCATCTTGGTAACAGTTTGTCACGCCTTATTATTATCCTTTGACAATACGTGTACCCCTAAACAACATTATATAACATATAGCGTGTTACGTATCTTTAGGTGACTCTATAAATACCTTATGTATTCCAATACAATAGTTTGTATATAAATGTTGCCCTACGACTATAAGGCAACAAAATGTAAATATGTATAGCTTATCTAACAACACCATTAGCAATCGACGAACTTCCACGTTTCTATAGTGCAACCTATCCAGCTTACAGACTACCAGAAATAAATACAATAATAAAATCTCTTGCAATTTCTCCCTTATTTAAATTCTTGCTTTTTTTCCTACGCGTATTATTTCCAGAAAAACCTGAGTAAAAATGAACTGCTACGCACACTGGATCGCTATGCCATACATGATGAAAATGAGCCTAAGTACCTATTACCAATAAATATATAAGTATAGCAATCAGCCACCTACTGCTAGGCTTACCTAATATATCATTTATGTAGTGTATACAAAAGGGTTATATATATGGCAATATATACAAGACATGCTACAAAATGAACAAGCACTGGAGCATATGAGACTGTTTGCGATATGCTAGACTTTAGCATACCAAATAAAGCAACAGTACAAATGATGAACGTCGAACATTAAAGGATACTGCCCTGATAGGGGTATTAAAATCATAACAGTGACTTTAAGTAACATCACCACGCTCTTCTGTGTGATGTTCACCACTTAAACACCAGTACAGGAGGGAGGAAGAGGCGGAACATCATACCTGACCCTCCCAGATCCCGAAAAGGATCTAGATCCCAATAAACCCGAATCGAAGTACTACCACGGCGATACCCCCAAGTAACAGTGTTTGTCCATATTCCTTAAATTAAAACAAGTGTTCTTGTTCGAAGATGAAACACACTTTCACTTTGATCACACTTTATATTATTATGATACAACATTCGATGAATAGTATCACTACCTGTACATTCATTTTGAGGAAAGCCCACAAAAATATAACGAAGGTGAAACTGTTCTGAAGCTTCAAAGCTCAAACGCTTTAGAAGAGTGGGCGGATAAATTTTAATCCTTTACTCTTTTGTTATGTTCACAGAGAAATCTATGAATTACTAAAATAACATTTTAAGTTAACAATCTACTATATATATATATATACATATATCATACCCTGTCGTTAATCTTCAGAATAGAGTACCCTATTGGTCGAAGAAACATTTGTTGACTTTACAGGGATTGGGTTTTTGCAGCTAAAGTAAAACGACATTCACAGCATCCTTTCTCTCAGACTTTCGGTGTTAATTCAACAGCCACCACAAGTAACTTGCACGTGCAAGGCCACGTCACGAAGTGCGGAGCTCTGGCCAATAAACTAGTTTGGATTTCTGTTCCAAATCTTATCATTACAGCACGCTTATGTCCACCCTGGCCCACCTGTTTGTGGAAGTACCAGTCGATACAAAGCAAACCTGTTCAGCATGGTCTGCGCATGCTTGTTTTAACACATCTGCTTGTGTTTATGGTAAGAAAATAAGTAGCCGTTTTCTTTTGTTCAAGTTAAACATAAAACTAGTTTTAAAGAACACCTGAACACGATCCTTTTCTTTATATAAATAGCAATATTTTAATAAATTAATATGTGTATGAAAATTATATATATATACATTTGCGTTTGGACCTTTTGTGGTGAGAATTTTAATAAAAATAACCATTCAATCAACTTTTTACGAGTTGGGGACAAAAATGGCAAGGTTGAATTATAACTCACACTCAAATGTATCGAGTTCCTACGTCTGTAGTAATTGTCCACTCCTACAAGATTTATAACTCACTGTTTATCGTTTGCAGTATCGTCTATATACTGTGTGTTGATATTACAATGCGAGTTTAATACATTTTTTTTCTCGATAGACCTGAATATGGATGCTTAAAATGGGTTGAACACTTATAAATAAATAATAAAATTGAGTTGAGGTGCCATTTTATGGTTGAATATAAAAACATAAATACTCATATTAAAGTCGTAAATGTGAAAACGATTATATTCGTAATATTTAAGCATTGAAAAAAATAACCTCGTATGTTCTTATGGAAACTTAATTTTCAGTCGAACTTTATCACTAATATCCTTTCAGTAACTGTTAACGAACAAGTAGCGGTAAAACGTCGCCACCAACCTAATTTTAATCGCCTGTATAATAAATTATATAGTCTCTCACTCTTTTATCTATGTTCTAATAATAATATTATATATTTTTTGTCTGTTTGAAGTTACACAATGGGCTATCTGGGTTCTGCCCACCACGGGTATCGAAACCCGGTTTCTAGCGTTGTAACTCCGCAGACATACCGCTGTGCTACTGGGGGTAGTATTAAAAAGAATGACCATTTCATGCAAGAACGGGTTGATGGATGTCTATGTGCCACCTGCTAACAAACCAGTAAACGTAACACATGTTATAACATTATATAACATTATACACGAGGGCTATCTGCGCTAGCCGTCCCTAATTTAGCAGTGTAAGACTAGAGGGAAGGCAGCTAGTCATCATCACCCACCGCCAACTCTTGGACTACTCTTTTACCACGGCTTAAAGGGCGAACATGTTTGGTGTGACGGGGATTCAAACCCGCGACCCGCAGATTGCGAGTTGAGCGCTCTAACCACCTGACCATGCCGGGCCGAGATGCATGTTTCCTTCCTTAATTTATTAACGCTTTTCGACCAAGAAATAAATAGGTGATTTGCAACATGACAAAATAAACGCCGTAAAGGTATTAATACTGAACAAAATAGTGTATTGCAAAATTGTATTGAGAAAGAATAAACTAGTTTTACTTAAGAAAGGACTAAAGTTTCTTCGTAGAGAATTTTTACGGAAAATTAACAAACGAACACAGAGGCGTAACAAATTTGTGTCAGAGAGTGGGACGGAAAAGAAAAAAACGGAAACGAGAAGTGGCAAATCAAACTACAGCTTAGCAGATTTGATGGCAGCAACACAAGAAGAACAAAAGAAACAAGAAGAAAGAGAAAAACAACAAGAAGAGAGACAACAGCAGTTGCAAGAAGACCTGCAACAGTTGCAGCTCGAACAGCAAAATAAACAAGAGAGATTACAGCAGTTGTTGGGGAAAAAAGAAAAGAAACAAGTAGAAAGAGAAAATAAACAAGAAGATAGATTACAGCAATGGCAAGATAACTTGCAACAGTGGCAGCTCGAACAGCAAAATAAACAAGAGAGATAACAGCAGTGGTTGGAGGAGAAAGAAAATAAACAA